TTTCCTTTTTCAAGTAGACTTTTTTCCCCTTATCAATGCAAATCTTCTTCTCCCTGTGGATTTTAAACAGCTTCAGGGTGGGCCCATTTGGTGTGAGAGCAGAGTTCAGCAAGTAGAAAGTGTGGAGTGTGGAATCAGCCCAGCTGCTTTCAAATTCTGGGTCTTTCACTCACTAGCTATGAGAATGTTGGAAAGTTAATTAACTTCTCTGAGTTTTTTGTTTATTTCTCAGAGATGGTCATACCTAGTTTACAGTTTTGTTTTAGACATTAAATGAGATAGTGCATGTGAGGCTCACAGCTCAGATCCAGTTATTTAAATATATTTCTTTCCTTTCTTTTATTTCTTTGATATTCCCTCACCCCAGAACCCTCTGCTCCCACTTAGTATATATACTTAGTTAAATATAAGTCTATAGGCTTTTAGTGAGTAGATTGGAAGGCTTAGAAATTATATTGTATCAGTTTGCATCAATTTGGAGAGACTCAGTGCTTAAAAAGCCTCAGCCATCTTCGCTGGATCAGGAGGTTGTGATTTCTTGCTGAATGTTCTTCAAGGTATTTGCTTTAGTTCCCTTCTTTATGGGTATGTTACATCTAGAAATAGGTTTGTTGAGAAACAATAGTAAAATGAGGAGGGGAGAAAGAAGACAAAGAAGAAACCTGGCAAAATGTTAATGAAAATAGAAAGCAAAGCCCTAAAAACCACACGGAATGGAATACATTTAAAATAACAAAATTTCATTTATCACTGTGATTCTCATAGCACAGAACCCAGCCAAAAACTTGGGCAAGTCTAGTGCATGCTTGGGTGTTGAAGAATATCTGCAAATGTTGATTCCCAGTGATCAGAAAGCTGAAGGATAGACCAGAAAGTTTAATAAATATTCTTAATCCTGTGGACTAAAAATATATACTCACATGGCTGAGTCAAGAGTGTAAAGGACTTGTTGAAACAGAATTTAATAAGCAGCATGGAAAAGCAATGTTTTTTGAGTTAATGACTGAAGTCTTGAGATAGTGTCTTATTTAGAAGATTTGGATATGCTACATGTTTATATTATGTATATTTTAATAATGCTATGTATGTATATAGGTACTGTAATTCTCTTTTTATCAGCTCTGTATGTTACTCGGTTTTTATTTTTCTCAGATATTCTTTCCAATTAAAACACCATAAATAGTCTTTTTTAGTTTTTAATTTTTTTTTAGAGATGGGGGTCTCACTTTATTGCCCAGGCTGGAATTCTGCAGTGGTGTGATCATAGCTCACTGCAACCTCCAGCTCCTGGACTCAAAGTATCCTCCCACCTCAGCCTCCTGAGTAGTTAGAACTCAGGTGCATGTCACCATGCCCTGCTAATTTTTTTTTTTTTTTTTTGTAGAGATGGGTTCTTGTTATGTTACTCAGACTAGTCTTGAACTCATGACCTCAAGTGATCCTCCTGCCTTGACCTTCCAAAGCACTACAATTACAGATGTGAGCCACTGTGCCCAGCCCATAAACATCTTTTTATTAAAAAAAAACTTTAATAGTTAATTTTCATAAAAATTTGAGAAAAACATTGAAAATATATCCAACTTGCTCACTGAAAACTCCCAAGGACTGAATGAATACATTGCCCGTAAGACCATTTTCCCTTCTCTTGTTCCCGCTGGGCCTTACTTACTAACCTAGTTAATTTTAAGTGTTGGGAATATAGTCAGAGATGGAAGAAGTATTAAGGTCCTTAAAAAAGAAAAAATGGCATAGGCCTATCAAACGTGATAACAGCCAGGTGCCTACTACCGTGGCCTTTTGTCCCCAGAAATGGTTGCTGAGCTGCATTTCCAAGAAAGCCACAAGGTATTTTGGCTCACATTTATCTGGCCAAGGCCTCAAGTGCTGGTTGCTCAGGTAGGAGACCAGGCAGACACCTCAGAGACTTCTACTGGGATCTACTTCTCAGGGTTGCTGCTTGTCAAATAATCAGCGTGAATATTTCCCTCAATGAAAACCTTCCTAACTATTCTACAATTTGGCATTTCCTCTTCTGTATTGATGTGCTTCCAAAGCAATTTGTACATTTGTCCATTAAAACACTTACTATATTGCAGTACAACACAAAACCTGGCACATATTAGAGAATTGAATAAATGAGTAAATAATCTAAAGAAAATAACTTTTTGAGCAGCCAAATTTGATTACCCTGGAATCTAAGAGATCCCCCAGTCAACCTAGGCTATCAATATGAACTGGATGGCTATTGTTTACTCACTATAGCAAACCTATTGAGTGCCCCCAATTTCATTTGCTTTTGCTTTTTATGATTAATCATTTTATCAAGACTCTCTTGACCTTGAGTTTTTAAAAAATATAATTCATTCATGTGAGAAGAAATGAGATCATTGCCTACGAGGTCCTGAATTCTTAAGATAAATTTATAAAATATAAATTCTGCACAATACATTTATATTAGAGGTAATATTTTGATACGTCCTTACTAGCAGTTGGAAAAGTATTTTTAATAGTCTTTTTTTTTTTTTTTATCAGTCTCCCTAGAGACTGTCAAAAATTGCCAGTGCCGACTGTATTGCAAGTCGTCACGGTGGGGTATTGGGAAAAGTTTTCAATTAGCAATCATTGTGCCTTGGATAAACCTCATTGGCTACAATATTGCCACTGCACAAAGCTTATTTTTAATAGTCTTTTAAGGCTGTTTAGATATTGATGAAACATAAGGAGAAGAAAATGCCATGTTAAACGCTTAGTAATTGAGTATGCACTCTACTTGTGTCCTAACTTAGACCATGCTGTGGAATAAAATAGACAATTATCTTGTATTATTTAAATTTGGTTCCTATTTTAATGTTTAAAGAATAACTTTACATATGCATTTAAACTTTTTTTTTTTGACATGGAGCCTCGCTCTGTTGCCCAGGTTGGAGTACAGTGGTGCAATCTCGACTCTGCAATCTCTGCCTCCCAGATTCAAGTGATTCTCGTGCCACAGCCTCCCAAGTAGCAGGGATTACAGGTATGCACCGCCACACCAAGCTAATTTTTGTATTTTTAGTAGACACAAGGTTTCGCCATGTTGGCCAGAGTGGTCTTGAACTCCTGACTTTGGGTGATCTGCCTGCTGTGGCCTCCCAAAATGCTGGGATTACAGGCATGAGCCACCACATCTGGCATTAAACATTTTTTACCATTAAAAAAATTCAACCCATCTTTTTGTATTACTTCATTTTTTTGAATTACAATATATGTAGCAAAAATTACACAATTTATGTCTTAATTATATAGTATATTTCAAAAGTTTTATTCTAACTTTTAAATAATATCCTAAGCTCTTTGAAGAAAGGAATAAGATTGGACCTCTTTTGAATCCTGTACTTTGCCTAGGACTTAAAAACTACTAATGCATTGCTTTGACTAATAAGCAATGGCTTCCATTTACTGAGTCTCATGCTATACACTGTGCGTGTATATGAGTATATGCTATATGTATCATATATAACCATATATATAATGATATATATGTGCCAACAGTTGTCTTTTGTGTTTTTATTAGTAGCTCTGCCTAGGGACAGACTCTGAATAAGTGAATATTGAATAATAGGCTTAACAAACTTTTGAATATTTCAGCACTCAAAAATCAGTGGCCAGACGTTAAGAATCAGTCGTTGCCCATCCAGGTTATAACACAGGCTAAAACAGAAGAGAAAAAAAAATAATTCTAAGCTGCTTTTAAGGTAATCTGGGAAATAAAACTAAGAAGCCTAAAGCTGGGTGCAACAGTGCACCTGTAATCCCAGCTATTCTGGAGGTAGAGGCTTGAGGATCCCTTGGTCTAAGGAGTTTAAGACCACCCTGGGCCTGGGCACCCAGTCTCGGGCTGGGTGTGGTGGCTCATGCTTGTAATTCCAGCATTTTGGGAGGCCAAGGTGGGCAGATCACTTGAGGCCAGGAGTTCGAGACCAGCCTGGCCAACATGGTGAAACCTCATCTCTACTAAAAATGCAAAAATTAGCTAGTTGAGGTGGAGGGCGCCTGTAATCCCAGCTACTCAGCAGGCTGAGGCGGGAGAATCACTTAAACCTGGGAGGCGGAGGTTACAGTGAGCTGAGATTGTGCCATTGCACTCCAGCCTGGGTGACAGAGTAAGACTCTGTCTCAAAAAAAAAAAAAAAAAAAAAAAAAGAACCCCAAAGAAAGAAGGAAAGAGAAAGAAAAAAGAAAGGGAAGGAAGAAAGGAGAAAAAAAAGTCTAGGTCCAAGGTTCATGTAAGTTTTTTTTTCCTGTTTTTTTTTTAAATTTTTAATCTAACAAATGTAACAAATCACTGAATAGATTTGTCTAGGGGCAATGACAGGGTGGGGAGTGAGAAAGAAGTGTAGAAAAGCTGGCAGGTAATCAACAAAAAGGAAAGTAAAAAGGAAAATTATATTGAATAAGCTGAACTACCCACAAGTAGAGCAATAAAACTGCATCAAAGCTATGTTAATATTGAAAGAACCAGTGAAATCAAAGTTGTAGATGAAACTTGTTTGCTTAAGTCTGGAAGCTAATGTACCATTAATTAAGATGCAAATGATCTGACTTGCTTTCTGAACTCTACCAAAACTCTTTTATTTTTATTCATTTAGTTTTTGAGACAGGGTCTTGCTGTGTTGCCCAGGCTGGCGTGTAGTGGGGTGATCATAGCTCACTGCAGCCTTGAACTCCTGGGCTTAAGCTGTCTTCCCATCTCAGCCTCCCATGTAGCTGGGACTGCAGGTATGCACCATCACACCTGGCTAATCTTTAAACTGTTTTGTAGAGACAGAGTCTTGTTATCTTTCTGTGTTTTCCAGGCTGGTGTCAAACTCCTAGCTTCAAGTGATCTTTCCACACTGACCTCCCTAAGTGCTGGGATTATAGGTGTGAGCCACTGTCCCCAGCCAGAACTGTTAATTTTGTATCTGTGTTAGATCTAATTTAGTTTAATAAACATTAGTTGAGCTCCTTCTGTTTTTCAGATGTGACCAGATGTTGATGACCTCATGTAAGCTGTGGAAGAATTCCATTGTGTCTGGGGAGATAATAAGTAAGCTGATCATTTCACTGTAATAAAACAGGATGCAATATGATAAAACATTGTTACAGAAATTATTTCTAATGTAAAAGAAAAAAATGTTTAAAACCAACTAAAACAATGTAAATGGCCAGATGATGAGCTGGGATTCCGGAAATGGATAAATATAGTTCTGAGTTCTGCCTCTGCCTTTGTGTGACTGAGCAAATTATTCATTTATTTTAGAGATGGAGTTTCGTTCTTTTGCCCAGCCTGGAGTGCAATGGCGTGATCTCGGCTCACTGCAACCTCCGCCTCCCGGGCTCAAGTGATTCTCCTGCTTCAGCCTTCCGAGTAGCTGCAGATTGCAGGCATGTGCCATCACACCCGGCTAATTTTGTATTTTTAGTAGAGACAGGGTTTCTCCATGTTGGTCAGGCTGGTCTCAAACTCCCAACCTCAGGGTGGATCCCCCTGAGGTGAGATCCACCCTGAGGTTGGGAGTTTGAGACCAGCCTGACCAACCCCCACCTCAGTATTACCCCCTTAGAAATCAATTGCCCTTCCAAACAGGTTTCTCCTTTTCATTTTCCTTTCTCTGCCACAACCCCATCACCAACAATCCCAGCCTCAACCTCCCAACGTGCTGGGATTACACGCGTGAGCCACCGCGCCTGGCCAAATTACTTTATTTGTAAAAGACTCATATATAAAATACAGGCACTAAAAATACATACATCATATAGTTATTTGGAAACTCAGCCACTGTTACATGTTAATTATTATTAGAGTTAGTTATTAGCTATTGAATTAGTACTATTTTACCATGATTACACAAAACCATGGAAAATAATTACATCCAGGCAGATCATAGAGTGCCTTGGCTTTATATACTGTGGTTTTATCAAATATATATTTAGTCTTCCAAAATATACAATGTTTGCAGAAAAAAAAAGCTTGTGTTTTTCCATTCAGACGTTTTGATATCATATCGACTCTAATGTTTACGTTTTGTTGTCAAGATGCAATTAGAATCTTCCAAATTATCATCTACAGTGTTCAATGTTATTTATGCTCACATTAGATTTGACACCACACATTTATTAGTCACTTCAGTGCTGTTACAATTTTTGTTTCATATAAAATTTGATGCCAAAACCTTTATAGTAGATGTGTTCAATAAGAAAAAGCTTTACAAGAAATTTTCATCTAGGTTAGTCATCTGCCATCAATATACTTCTTTTTGGTAAAGTTAATCTCGCTCTCCTTCAGCCTCTACCATCAAAACATGTCTGGCAAGGTCATCTCTCCTGCCCTGGAGACATTGCCTACCCTGCTGATTTCATAAGGAATTTGGTATTACAGTGCCTGGCCCTGTCGTCAGGCTCCCTGGTCACCTCTTCTCTCTGACTTTGGACCTGTCTTAGCATTCCTTAAATCCACCCAGGTATGGTTGGCTCTTCTTTGGTCCCAGCTGACTCAGTCCCACGATCCTCCCCCAACGTTCCCGCTGGCCTCAGAGCCAGCATCTTTGCTCTTGCTTTTTTTGCTTCCAACCAGGCATTCTTCTTGCATCAATCTCTGTTTCCAAGAATTTCTCATATAGTGTTGATGCTCATGTTCTATGCTCATGTTCAAATACACCCATATCTTCCAAACTTGTTAACTTCATTTGATTCTTTCCAATTTTGTAAAGACTCATTTTGTCTGAGAATAGCTTTTATAGCCTCCCTTGTCCCTTAGGTATGACTCATCAATGGAATCTCCCTGCTTTTCCTTAAGTGTTAGAGTCTAATGTAACCCCACTGGGAATTTTCATAACTTCTTGTCAACTGTGAGGTTTACAAAATTGTTGAGCTCACTTCCTCATTTCAGTGATTGTAGAACTAAGCCCAACAAAGAACCAAAATTTAGGGTGACAGTCATTAGGATGATTTCTAAACAAAAGTGTGAATGATGTTGCTTGCCTGTTGGAGAATTTATTCACCACTTCCCTCACCCCAGTATTGCCCCATTAGAAACCAACAGACCTTCCAAACAGCCTTCTCCCTTCCATTCTCCTTTCTCTGCCACAACCCCGTCACCAACATTTCCGATCCCCGTGCACTTTTATTAGTCCATGAGGCCTCTTCCTGAAGGTCACACTAAGTGTTAACAGTGGTTTAGTGAGTTTCTCCAAACCCACTAGTCTTTAGAGTCTTTAGAAAAGCAAGCAAATACACTTTTAAATGGGAAGTGAATTGAGGCAGGAGTATTTGCCCTTTAAGTAGGGGAATTTTGTAACTGGGGACATGTAGGTAGAGAGTGTGAGAGGTTTAGTGCTTTGCTGTACCCATCTAACACCTGGACCCAGGCTCATATTTCCTTCACTGATTGTGCCAGACGTTTTATATGTTCTTCCAACAGTACCAGTACTGAGCAACAGTACTCAAGTTTATCTAGAAACGCGAGTTACCACCACATCCAAGTAAAAGAACCGTCCTCTCTGTCCAGCCTTGTCTGTATTCCTTGGAATATTCCCCACATTGCATAACCATCTTGGAGGAAAACATGTTCTCTTCCATTTATATAAACTTGTTCTCTTCTGGAGAAATAGCTCTGTATTAAAGACACTTGAGGGAAAATGACATTACTGAGGAGATGATATTTAGCTGTCCCCCAAAGCCAATGGGCAGTGATCCAAAAAAATTTACGGAAATAGAAGTAACTCTTTGTAAGCTAACCAAACAGTGGCCTGAACTCTTTTACATTGTGACTTCTTATGAGTGCTTAGTTTAGTTGCCTGAAGGTCAATCTGGAAATTAACAGGCTATTTTGGATTATAACAAGATTATTTAAAGACTCAAACTTTCCAGAGTTCCTTTTAGATGACTTCTATCATGACAAGCAAACCAAAAGGTCAGTGGTCCCAAAGTGGGGTACACATGATCTATTAAGGTACAGAAAAAGGAAATAACAAAATATATAAATATATTATTATTAATAAATATCATATTTTTAAAAGATGTACTTTTGTGAATGACATATTATTCACAATGTATTAATAACAATTATGTAATTCATAAATAAAATGTGGATATACGGTAGTAGTACATGCTCAATTTTTTTTAACTAGTAAGAAGGTAGGATCAAATGAGTGAGAATCTGCTGATTAGGTAACACTTTGGCTATCATATCCTCTTCCCTCTAATCTATGCATTATCATAAAGACAGGTTCTAATGTCTCCTCCCAGAACTAAGAGGACTTTTAAACATTCTTCCTTCTACATCGTCAGAACGATGTAGTTTTATTTTCACTACCTTTAAAAACATTAAGGAAAGTAGAGAACAATATTCAGATTAGTTATAAAATTAACTTTTCTATCTCCTTCTATAAGTTTCTAGGATTTTGTATATTTGGTGTATAATATATTAAATGTCATATTTTTATATGCTTTTGATCACAAAAGATTCTTGCTTAAAACAAACATTTTCTAAAGACATCAAAGGCCATATAGAAAAATATAATATAAAAAGTATTTGCAAGCTGGGCATGGTAGCTCCCCACCCACCTACAGGTGGCTCCCATGCCTATAATACCAGCACCTTGGGAGGCAGAGGTGGGAGGATCGCTTAAGCCCAGGAGTTTGAGACCAGCCTGGGTAACATAGCAAGACTCTGACTCTACAGATAATTAAAAAAATTAGCTGGGCATGGCGGCTTGTGCCTGTAGTCCTAGCTATTTGGTCTTGAACTCCTGGCATCAAGCAATCCTCCAACCTCAGCCTCTCAAATTGCTGGCATTATTGGCATGAACCACCACACCTGGCTTAGCCTACCTATTTGGGAGGCCAAGGTGGGAGGACTGCTTGATCCTGAAAGGTTGAGGCTGCAGTGAGACATTATCGCACGACTGCATTCTAGCCTGGATAGCAAAGCAAGACCCTGTCTAAAAAAAAAAAAAAGAAAAGAATTTATAGTTGTAATCCATAGCTTATTAGCAACAGAAGAGAAATAGCACAATATTTGCTGATACCACAAGGGAACACGTATTTGTAGTGTCTATCTTTCGTGTGTTTTTATTTTAGGAAATGAACGCTGATGTTAGGCAATTTAACCCCCTTCCTTGTGACTTTTGCTGTTATTTCTAAACTGGATATCTCTTACACAGGCATTAACAAGCAGGTTGACTGTCAGGACAAGTCCAAGGGTGGCATTATTTGCATTTGCTGATCAATGAGTCTTTGGGGCTGTAAAGACTCATACCCAAGGAATGACTCAGAAAGTCAGGGGCCCATGTTATTTGGCTCTGGGCTCAGACGTGCAGAGCAGCAGCATCAGGACTTGACAGCCCTATGGCTCAATCAGCTTTCTGTTTTCACTGCCTTGTGATGCCATGAGTGGAACTATTGGCAAATCAGAGTTCAACCCCAGGTTTTCAGTCTTTCCCCTAATTCTTGCTCTATCAGAGGTCAAGGACAACAGTATAATGATTCATAGGCTCTACTTCCTGGCAAGTAATCATTTTCCCACGGTGAATAATGATTTATGAGGGGTAAAGAATGTTGATTTGCCTTTTTTCTGTGTGGCCTTTCTGCTGACAGAGGGTTGGCTAGGAATACTTTGTTTCCATTTGTAAGGCCATCCAGAAAATGTTTTAAAGCATTTTAATTTTTTAAACATAAGCGCTTTAAATATATATTATCCATAAAGAAGTAGAATGATCCACTTACATACTTTGTTAAAAAATGAAGACAATTTTGAAATTTCCTTTTTTATGTTGGCACGTGAGGACTCAGTATGCCTTGTAGAAGTCAAGAGCTGTAGAGGCCCTCTATGATCCCACTTTTTAGGTTGGAACACTGAGACCCAGAGAAGTTAAATGAGTTGTTCATTTCCACAGAACTGGTTAGTGACAGAGGCAGATTGAGGCTTAAATTAGCTCATCTTAGGCTATGATTTTATCTAACATTAGGCTTACTTGTACCATGTCAGAAGGAAAGATCCAGGTTTAAAGAAGTCTGTGACTTTCACAGTTAGTCACATGAATTAATTAATGACAGAAATGTCAAGGGAGAAGCATGGTAATTGGTATCGGATGGACCTTGGCTTGAATCTTGGCCCTGGAACTGGGTGATGTTGGCTAATTTACTTAATTTATCTGAGTATGTTTTCTCACTTTACAGATGAGACTGGGGATAATAATGTCAATTTCATATCATCTCATGTAAGAATAAGAGATAAGGCATACAAGGCTCCTGACACATGGTGAGCTTTCAATAAACAGAAGCTCTAATTATTTTTTAAAACTAAGCAACACCTGTCCTTGCTTTCTGGTATTGCTTTCTGGTTTTCTGTCCTTCCTTTCTGGTTATATTTTCAAAGTAGCCCTAGTTATACTTTGCACTGTCTTAGAACTTTGCTTTGTCAGACTCAACAGTTAGTTTCTTTCAAGCCACTACTGAAATTTTTCCCTTAGTACTTTGCGTCTGAGTTGTCTCATTTCCTGGAAGCTCTGACACAGGCCAGCATGCTGTTATAGAACATGATCTGAAACCTCACTGGCAAGGGAAGTCCCCTTCAAAAGAGGCATTTTTTTTTTTTCCTTTCTGGAGTTTCTTGCTTCTCTTTCAGATCCCATAGGCAACCCCTTAGGCTAGGGATACCTAACTATCCGGGGACAGGGATGAAGGTCCTGGCCTGATTGTCCTGTGGACAGTGTAGGTACAGTGGGGAAGGCTGAGGGTCTGGCCACATTTGCCCCTGGTGTCTTTACTGCTACCATTTCTGCCTCTGTACTTCCATGTCCTTTTAGCTTCCCCACAAATGGCCTTTGTTTTTTTCTCTTCCCTTTGGTCTTTCCCTCCTACTTCACCAGGACCAACTCTTGAAACATCCAACAGAAATTTAGAGGAGTCTGTGATATGTGGGGGAGTACAGGAGCTTTGCATTTTTGTGTTCTCACTTCCTTTAGAGCTCACAGGGATTTCCTAAGCAGTCTCTTCTGTGCCCAGTGGCTTAGACTGGCTCCCTGCCCCTGTGATGGGGAATTGCCACCTAGGTGCAGGTGGTTCTTCTTTTACTTCTTCTTTTCTAAAAAACACAGTTGCAAAAATATACACCTTATATTTAGGTCTTACAATGAAAAAAAAATTGCTCTAGTGATTTTTGTAGTATTTTTTCCTATAACTAAAATACTATTTACTTTTCATGATAAAATATAGTCCATTTTATTAAATGGGCTCACTTCTTTAACCCAAGTGTGTGTGTGTGAGTGTGTGTGTGTGTGTTTAGTGCCATACTTTTCTAGATATTTTGTCACCAGGGAATTTCCTACTTGAGTATTTGCTGTAACACAAGTGAACAATCTCTAGTTTTTTTTTTTGTTTGTTTTTTGTTTTTTTTTTTTTGAGACAGAATCTTGCTGTGTTGCCTAGGCTGCAATATTTTTAAAGTTATTAATATTTAAATAGAGATTTGTGCTAAGTGTTTTGAAAATCCTTTAAATCACATTAAATATCATAAAAGAGATTTTTCAGAATGAGAAAATATAGCCTTAATCCCATCCTTTCATTGTAATGATTGGTTTTGCTTTCATATATTAACTTTCATTTTTTATTCATGTATTATAGTTTCATTAGGGTAGGGTTTAAAATTTTCACTTTCAAAATGAAACTAGCTATTGCCTCACATTCACTGAAATAAGCCCACCTGCTTTTCTGATTTTGTGTGCACTGTCCTCTGTGAACTCTAATGGATCAAGTAACTATGAAACCAACATCTTCTTCCCTAGAGGTTGGTCCCCTGGGAAGCCCCTGGATCAAGCTTCAATTCTGGCAGCTTCTCTTTCTTTTAAGAGGAGCAGAGAAAAGCTCCATCATTCCTTATTTTATTTTTTCCACAAATATGTATTGAGAGTGTACCAAATATTGAATGCTACTATGTTGATTGGGGACACAGGATGTATAATCACTTTGATATATTAAAGATGGGAGGAAAACACATGGAGAAAACTATTTTGGTTCTTTTGTGATTCTGTAAGTGGTTCAGAGTCAATTAGAGGAATAAGTGATCTCTGTTTTCGGGTTCTGCAAGGATGTAAGAAGTGGATGTGGAGATAAAGTAAAATGAGGGGAGAATGGTGAACTGTGGCCTGGTGGTGGGATGGAGTTTGTACTTCAGGATAGATAAAGTAATGAGCCCGATGATTAATAAACCTAAGTCGAATAAATAATCATGGGTTGTATAGCTTAGTATCAGGGAAAATAAACTAGGAGTTTTGTTTATTTGTTGGTGAGCTGGGGAGGTGGGTAGGAGAGATTTAAACTGAATTAGCAGGATTGATTCTAACTGAAAAGGAGAGAAAGATAATTCTAACAGATTTCAGGAAAACAGAACTTTGTTGCTTATGTAACCAAAAAGTCCCAGGCTGGAATTGCCCTCAATTTTGGCTGAAATCAAGTCTTCCAACAAAAGTTCTATAAGTTTGCCTTTCTTCAGCTTTCTATTTAGCTTTCTTATTGGCTTCTATTTTAGGCAGGCTTCCCCAGATGATGGCAAAGATGGCCATAAACATTTGTGGTTTAAATTCTACAAGTTTTGAAGCCTTGTTGGGAAGTGTATGTCTTTTCTGCTTTGATTGGCCCAGCTTGGCCAGTCTCATCCATATGTTTGGATGGGGACTAATTGTGGAGGCAGGTGGTGGGATTGGCACTTACAGAAAGTGTATTGATTGAGAATGGCAAATGTTACTTCTCCAAGGGGAAGGAATGTGTTGTGTTATCAGGAGAGGTATGCTGGGTAGGTGAAAACCAATAATGACCACATTACAGATCCCTTTGAGGATCCGTTGAAAGAAATAGACCTCTCTCTTTAGAAAAGTGCTCTTGGCTGGGCGTGGGGGGTTCATGCCTATGATCCCAGCACATTGGGAGTCCGAGGCAGGAGGATCACTTGAGCCCAGGAGCTTGAGACAATCCTGGGCAACATAGCAAGACATGACCTTAACTGAAAAGATTAAAAACAAACAAAAAAAAAACTACCCAGGTGTGGTGGCACATTCCTATAGTCCTTGGCTACTCAGGAGACTAAGGCAGGCGGATAACTTTAGCCCAGGAGTTCAAGACTGTAGTGAGCTATGATCATGCCACTGCACTCCTGTCTGGGCAACAGAGTGAGACCCTGTTTCAAAAAAACAATAATAATAAAATAAAAAGTAAAGCACATGTAAACATAACATTATTCTGCTCACAATTTGAGGAGTTCACAGACCTTATGAAGTTAAAACCTAGAGTTCCATAGACTCTAGCTCAAAAACTTTGCTTTGTAGTGTGGAGTAATTGTGGATAAGCACTGTGACTTTTTGGTTGTAAAATCTCCCACACCTAGTAGAAAGACTTACACGTATTAAGCCCCCAATACATGTAGTGATTACATGAATGAATGAACCAAGTAACATTTTTTTTGTGATCTAGTATACTGGTATTATGCTCATGTTTTACATATGTTACCTTATTCATTCTTCTAACATTACCTTATGAATAAAGAAACAGAAGCTAAACTAGGGTATAAAGTGAGCTGAAAACCTAGAATTGACAAACATAGAAAGGACATGAGAGCAACTGTGAAGTTCAAGGGCAGAAGGTCTACATGAGCA